AAGATGATCATACGAAGGAAAGGATGTATAAAACCTAATTGAATCTTTGTCACATGAGAATCTCTCCAACCCAAATTTGTGTACAGCAAACTGTTCTGCAGCTACCCTCTTCAATTCTTCAATCTCTTTCTTTGCCTCTGCTTTTATCTTTCTAGCCTCTCCTTCTACCTCTAAGATTTTCTCCTTGGCAGCTACAGTTTCACTTTGGCTTTTCATTAACAGTTCTTTAGTTGCAAGTAATTCAGCTTTAAGACTTGTAATCTCCTCCTGCATTAAGTCAGAGCTAGACATGGGTTCTGAATCTGACTCAGATTCATCTGTCTGAGTATCTCTGTTTAATATAATGATACAGAATATATGTTAGATATCATATGCTTTCATAATAACCTCTATGTACACAGAATATTAACCTGTCTGTATGTCATAMAATCTTTCTCCTTGATTTCGGCTGAGAAGACCAGTCAAATCTTGATGGCACAGATCCCCCCTTCAGCATTCRCCGTCCTGCATTATCAGGTGCAAGATAGTCCTCTTCACTAAAATGTCTAGAGCATACTCTGGTACCATTGGAAATCTAACAACACAAACGAGACAGAAAGTCAATTTCCGAACAAAAAAAAACAACAAATAATTCTATAAAGTCGAAGTCTTTACCTTGAAACTTGGCCCTTCGTCTCTACGAATTTTTACAAGCCATTTCTTTCTGATTTCTTAGTCACTTGGTCTACTAGGTATTCTGTGAAATGTCAGCTCAGTGTTGTACCGAGAATCTCCAGTGCAACGAGGAACACAACAGTGAAAGCTTGTTGTCCTTCGACGAACAGCAGTTATATCAGGATTACCTTCGGAAAGAGTAAGAGAGATAAAGTGATATAGACGCTTCGCGTGCTTTATGTAGCATGAGTATACTATCTCTTTATGCACAAAATTTGTTCCCTTATCGGGTTGTAAAGATCTTGAAACTTGTATAAATCTTTTTAGATTATATAAAGAGTACATTGCAGTAATTTCCGATCATTACACGCAATAAAACTAGCTTTATAGGTGTTTTTTTTATCTACACATACCTTGACTG